ACTGTTGCATCATAGAAAATAAACAATTTAAAAAAATTTTTAATTAAAAATTAAAGATTTGAACCTTCAAGTGCCAAGTCCAATAGTGTCTCCACTTCTCTATTGGAGATCGACCTCATTTCTTCTAACAGATGTTCTATTTGTCTTTATCATTTGTAACATGTTGTGGATACAAAATTGCTCCAGAATGGATTTGGACCAAGGACCGTTCTGGTTTGAACCTATGTCCTTAGAACTGCCAGGCAGTCTCCTTATGGAGTGAACTACTTACTCAGACACTTGGACAGTACTTCCAGTATCTTTGACTGTTTGCATTGGGTAATGTACGTCAAAACTAAGGTGAGATGAGGAGCATTCAGCTGCAACTTCACTTCTAGATATTCAGCCTCTCTTTAGTTGGAGTCTCCTGTTTCTGATGCATACTGATGGGTTCTAGCTTTGCAGTTTTCATCTCTGATAAATGCTTTGAGATTTTAACCATGGCCAAATCATTCTCTTTGATTGCACTGACAAATGCCTGCAGCCTTGTTTTCTCGTCATCCAGTAATCAACTGCTTGTCATTCTTCGGGCAATGCAGTTCATGTAACTCTTTCTCTTGTTTTGTATATACGTTATCCTTGGCAAAGAGCTCATTTAATTCCAACTGAAGCAATTTTATCTGTGATTGTAAATTGTCATTTTCATCTTGACAGATCCTGCAGGCGGTTTCCAACTGGTCTGGAGTCTGCTGTTGCTGATGCACACAAGTGGTTTCCAACTTGACACGAGTCTGCTGTTGCTGCTGCCTTTTTAAGCATGAGGCTCAATCAGCTAACAGCTCTCATCTGCGCTGACTGATCCTCTGTGGTGCAGGTTCTCTCCCAGCCCTTTCAGCTCCACAACTATGTTATCACAACATCCAAAGTTTGAAAATAAAAAAGTAATAACTGTTGTCAGTCAATTTCTTGTTTAACATTATTTATTGAGTGTTTATCTTTTACAAATACATGTAACAATGAAATACAAATGTGTACACTTAGATGTACAGTAAATCCCATCGCAGACTTAGCATGCTCCCTCAGGCTGATGTGTTGATTGAAAGTTGAATGCTAGAACCGCCAATGGGTAAAATGTACCTGCAGCTGTTTATCAAAATACAGCCGCAGGTACATTTTACCCATTGGCATTTTATGTACATAACTATGATTTAATAAAATAAATAATAAGTCCCCCAAATTTGGTCTGACTGTTTCTTCTAATCAGAGTTATTACTCAAATAACTCACACTTCAAATACCATCAACTACTCCAAAAAACTATTTCTAACATGATATGAATAATGAATTGATTGAATATATGATTATCATCAATATTGGTGCATCGCAAAGTCTGGGTCTGTGACTGGATCTGGAGTAAATGACAAGTTGATGCTGATGCTTGTGTTTTACATTTAGGTCGATTTCTTTCACTGGGGTCATGTTTATGGAAAATAAATGAATAAATAAAAGTATCCTCTCCGTCTCATTGCAGATTCCACAGTAATCTGCAGTCATTTTATCTTATTAAAATATGGTTATGTATAAAACTGACGTGGTGATCTGTCCCAGTACTGGAACCTCGAACAACTTCTTGAAGCACAGAAAAGCCCATCTACTGCCAACAGTCAGGCGTCTGGCTCATTCTGGAGAAGATGATTCAATACTCTGGTTGGTACAAGGTTTCCCTGGAGAAGAGAAGGAAAAAGAGTAAGATGGATCACAATCAATAATTTGTTAACACAACTTGTCCACTATGGGTCTATAAGCTTCCTACTGTATATTACATAAACAAAGTATATATATAGTATAAGAAATTCATTAATATTCAACAAAGTGCCAGTGTCTCATGGCCTGGACAATGTGTAGTGTCTAGCGTCGTCTAGTGTTTTTGAAATCGCTGCAAAGGCTGATGGAAGCATCCATGAGGCCACAGTAATTTAACTGATCTTTTTGACCAGATAACGTGCCGTACCTGTTTTTCAGCAGCTTCTCTCCTCTGCTCAGTCTTCCTTCAAGTTGTCTAAGAGCTCCTGCGTCCGTTGGGCCAGCTTACTTTTCTCCGCCTGTTCCCTTTTCATGGCCGCCTCGACTTTCTTGTTTTGGTAGATCTTCACCCCAGCGAACCCCAAACACAGCAGCAGTGTTTTCAGGGCAAGGATGTAGAGAAGGACGGGGACATTGTTCAAAACCTGGAGAAGGACAGAGAGAGGTCATGTCTGAGGTGGAAATTATTACAAAGTCGCAGAGGAAATGCATCTCCGGTGGACACAGAGCTGCTTTGATTGAGGCGAACCCACAGTAAATAGACCATCCCCGGAAAACAAGAGTGTGTGGGAATGAAAGAAGGGGAAAGAGAGCTCTGGAACCCTGGACATGTTGCTCCCCCTCCCTTGTTATCCACCAGAGGCCTCAGCTGTCTGTGGGGGGGATAATTTGGTAACAGGCACGGGGGGGGGTGTGAGTTGGGGAGGCAGCTGCACACCATGTGACAACACACTCTTTAATTCGGCTTAGGTATTTTCTTACAAGTGGCTTTTATTTCTATACATGTTTCCACTTTCCTCTCTCCCTGGTCAGTCTTTCAACTTTTCCAAAGCTACTCAAACATAACTTCACTCAACATGACGGTAAACAGTAAACATGACGCGACAAGACAGCGTGCTCAGCGGGAGCACCGTTAGCGTCATGCTAGCGGGCTAAAAACAAACACACCGAGCTAAAATTCAAATCAATCCCGAACCCTACATGTACAGCGAGGACGACACATTCACAATCATCTTTTAAAGACAATAAACGTGGATTTCAAAGTACTTACGTTCCAGTTGATCATTTTGTCGTCGGCAGCGTTGACTTCAGCTTTAGTACTTTTAACTTTCGCTCTCGAAGTTAGCCAGAGCTGCTTTAATACTCCTCTGGAGAAGGCGGGGCTTGTGCTTTAGAGGCCAATCAACACGCGATATCTGTTGGACGTCACCTGTGTTGCTTTCACGTACCCACGGAGAAAACACACACGCAGATGGAAACGTTTCCGGTTATAGCTGACGACAGAGCTGGGGGTGCGTCTCAACCACTGCAGTACTAACACAGAAACAATCGAGCTGTTTTCATTATATATTTATTACATTTTTTTAGTTTTTTAATTTACTAGTCATGTCCACATATTCATGCCGAGAATTGAACGCATCATTACTCTTCACGTAATGACGACGTGTGGCTGAATGTTGAATCTTTATTTTAGCCACAATATAAAAATAAGATTATCCAAGGTTTGGCGTCGCTTTAGATTTAATTGCTGTGGCTGAATCTGTTGGCTTTGTGCAATCAAAAGTGTTGATGACGAAGTTATCGTGTAGAGTGATTTAAAAAAGATCAATTTCACATGTCGATCTCACTGTCACGGTGGCCGAGAGGTTAAGGCGTTGGACTCGAAATCCAATGGGGTTTCCCCGCACAGGTTCGAATCCTGTTCGTGACGAAATTTTCTTTTTGTTGTTGCAAATATATTAAAAGAATACATGTCATTGTGACCAGGATCCAAACCACTGCTCATGCCACAGTTTAAAAAGCAGCAAAACTACTTAAAGTGTCTTAAAACCTCTGCAGACTGCCGTATGTCAACTTCCCTCAGTCACTGAAGCTGATGTGTGACAAGAAATGTTATTCTTTTGTTTGTCTCATTAAAATCAGGATTTAGCAGGTAGTTGTCAGTATTTGTGTTGCATTGTTAGGCGTTGTTAGGAATTGAATAGCATTCACAATATTAGGATCGGTTAATGCAGCTATTGTTGCCATGCACCACAGCTTTAATTACCAAGGGGACGTCACATGCAGCAGTTTGCAGTGCGTCTAGATTCTTTAAGTGGGGAGACTTTAAAAATAATGACATAGTCATTAAAAAAACATTTTTGGTGTCACCATCATTTATCTGTGTCTTCGTGGGATCCTGCACTGACTCCGTGATGCTGAGATGTTGTTCTTTATCTCAACTTTTTAAATCTGGACGCACGTCTGGGTTTGTTTTCATGCAGCAAAATTAATATTTATACAATCAGACGCCTCCTGATGATATTGTACGATGGATGGAAGTACCCGAAAGGGTATTTTTAGTAAACGCCCCAACGACTGTTTCTTTAATATGTGTTTTATTAGTAAACGTCCATATTTCCACAGGTGACAAAATAAATATGTATAATACATGGAAACCCTAGAAAGTAAAGAAAACATATGAGTGGACACTTAAATGAAATTTACTGTAACAAATGTCCAACCATTTAAATATAAGATATTGAACTCACAGTTCAACCAGAGGCTTCGTATTGATTTGTGTTGTGTTATTAAAATAAGATTGTCAAACACAGTGAATATAAACACACATCAACGCAAAGCTACAACAAGAGCTGATAGAAGAGATCAGCACATTTTGGGATTAACAAACCCCCAGATAGGCTCATGTATAACATCATAACAGAGGTGGACAATATGACTGGATATAGTTTCTTTTTCATCCAACACATGCACCTTTCTGCTAAAAAACCCAGGCTCGTGCAGCAGATGTGTATCAGCCCGCAGCTGAAACTAGTCCCAAACAGATGCACTTTTTATTCCTGTGTGAGTGAAATTAAATAAAACTACAAGTGAGTCCTTTTTAAAAGATGTAGATGTTATGGTACGGACCAACGGGTTTTTGTTGGAGAGCCACACTTTCCCAACGTAGGAATGACAGAAATAAATGAGCTGCATTTACAGACAATAAGAAAAATATAAAACAAACAAAACGTTTTCTTTGTGTCTTTCTTAAATGTGTGTTAAACTCTTTGGATGTGAGTTGAGTTTAATGACCAGGACGAGTGATGAGTCTCATGAGCATGTGATCTCAGCCTGTGTCCTTCAGGTGTCCGTCACAGTCACGATCAAATTCATTCTTGACTTGTTAAAATCTCGAGGACTCATCTTCCTCCTTTCCTTTAAAGTTGTACAGTGGCTGTTGGGTAGGACGTCCTGTACTGTAGCGGAGAGCACAAGTGGTGGAGATAACGTTTCCTCCTGCTCAGCAATGTCTAAAATCATCTGTAACTAGAGGAAGGGTGTTGCTGTGATGTCCTCTAACCCGTGCTATGGTTTCCTGGTCATTTCTTCACCAGTCGCCATGGTTATTCCGCCTGGAATCAGTTCACAGCAAAGGAGAACAGCGGTGTCGCAGCATGCTTGCATCACAGTGTTTGGGAAGTTTACCCCTGGGAAGCCCTGGTCTCACAGCGTGTTCCAACTCCCCTCTGATTGGCTCAGTAGCGCCCCCTCTGGTTTGTCCTGGACATGGTAAGTGGCAGAGACACAGAGGAGAGAGAGGAGACCTCCCAGTAGAGCGAGCGAGACAGGAAGAGCTGGTAGAGGATCACCATGGAGATGGACTGGCACAGGATGACACCGATAGTCACCACCTGCAGAGAGGGAAGAGGAGGTGGAGGAACAAGTTGAAAATGCAGATCGGCTGTTAAGCAATACGTCCACTAGAGGGCAGCACATATTTGAGCTTCTGAGGACAACAAACATGGTGACGGTGGAAGAACTTAAAAAGTCTTATTCACCTTGAAAAAATTAATTTCAACCACTAATTGGTGCTAATGGTCGGATTTCTTACACAAAGTCAGGAAAAATGCTTAAAAGTTAATGGACGTTAACTCCACTATCTTTAAAAGATAAATAAAAACATTTATAATGTGAGCAGTCCTGAAATCCCCGACTCAAACACGTCAGAGTGCTGCTTTGCTGAAATGTCGATTGTGTGCGTTTACAGACCTTCTCCCTCTGGTGCTTGTTGAAGATGACAGATGTAAGGACGAGGACCGGGTGACAGAGGAACCACAGGAAGCATCCCTGCAACGAAGACCGTGTGACTACATGAGGAGCTGAGGGGGACTATGTGCTGTGAGAGGAGGCTGCTGGTGAGCGTACGGTGTGGTTTACCTTGGCGAAGCTGAGGTAGAAGTCTCTCTTCAGGGTGCTCCTCTCGGTGGAGATGATCTGGTAGAGGACAGAGGCCAAGAGCACGGCCAAGCCCACCCTCAGCACGATGAGGAGGATGCCTGCCAGACTCTGCCCGGCGTGGTAGCTGTGGTGTTCCCTCTCAGACTCTGAATATAGCTCCCACAGCAGCAGCACTCCCTGAAGAAACACTGGTGATATTTGCTGAACCAAAATAACATCGGTCTCACATATTTATTTGAATCAGGTTTTCCTGCGTACCTGTGTGATGACTCCACCGACAGCGACAGCCGTGGAGGCCGGAGAATGTTCCCACTGCAGAGGTCTGGACTGAGGCTTCCTGCCTCGACTCAGAGTCCAGCCCATACACAGGCTCAGCAACATGTACAGCATGGACACCTGGGACACCATATCCCAGACTGCACCGGGGCAAGAACAGAAAGTATGTGACATAATTAGTTTAGTTTTATACGAAGCTTCAGAAGCAGACAGAAGGGAAGAAAAGACGTCTTTAGGTACGAGGGTCTTACACTCTGCCAGGCTGCCCATCAGAGGAATACCGATACCATCTCGAGAATACCTGCAGAGAGGAGGGAACAGAAAACATTACTGGACTATTTCATCTTCCTAATCAAAGACTGTGTTTATGCTCAAGAACAAGTTGTGGAATAGGTCATAAATAGATTCAATGTTTCCCACAAAGCTGAAAGCACAAACAAGAGACTCTTCCTTCCTGAGTGAAATGCCCCTGAAGTATTTCAACCTAAATCATAAGGAAATGGGTTTTAAGTGCTTCCTAACTTTTCTCCTTTAGCGTAGGAAACACCGGACCATGTACCGTTCTTAACGTGTTCCAGAGGATGTGTCAAAAGAGTTATTTTCTATTCCTGTGAGATTTTGAAATAATAAGGACGACATAGGGAGTTTCAGTTATTAAGAAGAAGTAAGATGTAGCTTGTAATACAAACCACTCCACTCTTAAAATACTTCCAGTACTGGGAGCTCTGTCAGGCTCCGTGGTCTTTACCTGGCCAGGTGGATGTAGTTGCAGAGAGCGGAGCAGCCCTGCAAGGCCAGCGCCGTGATGAGCACTTTGAAGACAGTGTGCATGGGGCCTCCTTTCCTCAGGGCCTGGTGCAGGGGCTTGATGTAGATACAGCAGGCGATGAAGTAGGCGAGCAGCAGGAGGAAGTAGAAACTGTGGAGACCTGAGTAAAAGATTAAATGAATGATTTCTCTATATAAAATCAGCCAGCATTTAACTTTACACTTCCTGTTTAGAAAGTTCGCCACGTCTCACCTGCCTCCTCGGCGCTGAAGTGCTCCAGAGGATTTCCGGCCGAGTCTGCGTTCAACAGCAACACGGTGAAACTGAGATCAGGGTGAGATGGAATCACCGCGCCTTCCTGGAGGCGCAGAAATATAAAGGGAAAAGAAATGCAAGAAGAAGAAACAACGTAATGTGACAAATGAATGAATACAATAATAATAATCATAAACGTCTTTATACAGAGCAGTGCTTCATACATACACACATTTGATAGTTTTCTAGTATTGAGACGACCCAAATAAAAACCCACAACACTGTGCATGTTTAAGTAATAATTTGACAAACTTACATAAAACTCTCGTAAAGACACATTTTTATAGATGTGATTTTTCTAGTTCTGATCTTATTGTCTATTTTAATCATTTTATGTTTTATTTTATCTTGTGTCTCATCTGTAACTTTTTTAAATTTCTGTATCTGTTTCCTATTGTTTGCCTTCAATTCCCCATTTTTTACTTGTAAAGCAACTTGTATCTGTGCTGTGAAAGGTGCCACACAAATAAATGTTTTATTATTCCGAGCATCGGTGGGGGGGTGGTTTTATTGTAACGTTACCTGACACGTGTATCTGTCAGCGTACACGGCCTGCCAGGCTGTCGGGGACGACTGTCGAGGGATGGTCTGGTTGTGTTCTTCCTGATTGAGAAGAACTGCAGAAAGGAGGAGGAAGAGGAGGACAGTGAGAAGAATAAATCAATACAGCGACCCCGTCTGCGACATGCCGCTCCTTACTGGTGAAGTGGGCTCGGGCCAGCCGCTCGCTGCAGCTCAGGTTGTCCAGGTCTGAGTCCATGTCCTGGTACAGCAGCAGTCTGGACTCCTTCTCTGTGGCCAGAGCCGAGTTGTCCAGTCGACACACTAACAGACCACTATCGCCTACAGAGAGAAGAAGAATCTGATGTTGGAGAAATAATTAGCCCTCTAATATCTACCACGACCCGTCTGTATATGTTATCTTATCACATCCGTCAGTGCTTGTCGACACTGTACTTTCCTGTTTGAAAACCAGAGTAAAAAATGTGGTTCTCTTCATTATGAGTATGTTGTTCGTGCAATGTATCTTTTTTTCTTAAAGTGAATGAGTTAATTTCGGTGATAAATATACTTTCAGTTCCCTAATGTTAGGTTCTCTGGTTTACATGCAGCAAACAGAGTATTTCTGAGGTTGCACACGTTTGTCTCGAGTTGTCAGTGGCCCTTGGAGTTCTTAGGTCCCCAGGCCTGACTGGTAATCCAGCTTTGAGTCATTAATACTTTTTAATCGCCCCTTCAGTTTATTATTAGTTTCTTGTCTCATGTAACTGATGATTTCTATTATTTCTATTAGGCGCTGGTTTTGCATTTACTCCATATACTCCCTTGTGTAGCAACTCTTTTTGAATTTCCTTCAATCAAGGTTCTTACCTCATCTTATCTTACCTCACCTCACCTCACATCACCGTACCTCACTTTACCTCATGGTTTTCTGGGGACTCGTGGAGTTGGAGGCTCCTCAGGTTTGAACCCTGCAGGGAGCCTCCACCCAGCTCAGTGACCTCTGACCTCACACACACACGCACTTGCAGACCGACAGTGTGATGATGTAAAGTGACGTCAGGGATGCTGTGCACACGATCAGATGAAGTGATGATGACGTGAACGTCACACGCACGAAAAACGGACACAAACCCCGCATGACAACGAAAGGAGGCAGCGATCAGTGCAGGTCTGAGGTGACACGTTAGCAGCTGCTCCTCCTCCTCCTCCTCTGTTACCTTGGTACATGAATGAAGAGATGAACTGTCCGCGCGCCTCCCGCGCTGCGTCGCTCCTCAGAAGTCCCGTCACGGTTTTCCCGCGAACCCCCGCGCCGAGCAGCACCGCGGCCGCGAGCGCACACAACACCCCCGCCATCCGTCCCGCGTCTCCCCGCAAACAGCGTTCACGCAACAATCAACTGAATGAGCCACGAAGCCAGAGGAGGACCCGCCGCGTCAAGCTGCACCAGGGAACCCAGTCAGGACCGGAAGTTAAGTGTTTCCGCTCTCAAATAAAAGCTTCGCGTGTGTGTATATGTGTTGTTAGGATCCATAAATGACAGAAAAACACCAAGGAGATGTAAAATGAAAGATAACCACATGTTTCCTAAACGTTTACTCTGCATGTAACAACACAGACTGTATGTAAATAAATAAAATTGCGATGTTTTTTAAAACCAAACATCAGTAGATAAAAGCTACTGTTCACCAATGTATGTGTTTAAATAGTTATATGTGACGTTATTAAAAGAATAACGCGTGTAAACATGTCTGGTCAATGGCTGCATACTCTTATTTTGAAACCATATCCGGTTGCCTTGCCCGGTCGGCATTGTTGACAAACTTGAGTGGTTTGACTGAGACCCAATACGTCACACGGGACGACCAATCGGAGAGCAGGAAGCGGTCTGCCCCGCCCCGACACGTATTCAACGTGTCAACACTGCCGTAAAGGAGGCCAACGACTGTCGCAAAACGACGCATCGTCAGTGCGGAAGCAAACAGAGGATCAGTGTGACCTGTCAGGTAGAGAGGAGGAGGAGGAGGAGGAGGAGGAGGAAGAGGGGGAAGCAGTGAAGAAGAGGAGGAAACAGTGAAGATGAGGTTATTTTATCAGTGTGTGTAGGAAAAGATGGACTTTAACACTGTTCTGGTGACTGGAGGCTCCGGATTCATGTGAGTTCACTTCACTGTAAACCTCTGTCTTTAATATATTCTATTACATCACATAACAGTATTTACACATGAGATTATGTTCAACAAACTGTTGAGTAATTTGAATTCCTGTATTTAATGTGATTGTTTTAATTGTGTTATCTTACACCTTTCAGTATCGTTGTTATTTTGTTAAAGGTGAATGTAGCATAAAGGATAGTGACAGTATATTCAGTAAATACTTGTGTACATTCGTGAGCATCTCTTTAGAAATCTGTTTTTCTGCTAAGTGTTCCGAAGCAAGGAACAAGAAAAATATCAATTGCTGGGGGCTGATGCCGAATCCAATATTAGACAGTAAAACATTTGCTATTTTGATATATATACGCTCTATTTATTGGCAAATTTTTAGAACTATTCCTTTACACATGAATCAACAGGTCAGCACAAAGGCTTTTTCTTCTGTCTTATATTTACTGTATCTCTCGTCCTCCAGCGGCTCCCATCTTGTGTGTTCACTGGTCGACAGACACCCTGACTGGAGAATTATTAACCTGGATAATGTGAGTCCTCACTTCCTCTGTGTGTGTACACACAAATGGATGAAAATTTGATATATTTGAAAATATAAAGTGTGAAAATATGTGTTTCAGCGCGTTTCCCCTGTATTTTCCAGTTGGATTACTGCTGCAGCCCCAAGAGTCTGGAGAGCATTGAAGACAGAACAAACTACACCTTTATCAGAGTGAGAGCTGCTGTGTTATAACATTTTTACAAATAATGATAATTATAGTTTTCTAAAAAGTGACACTTGGACTACTATAATAACCAGGAGTTTATAGATATTATTTTCTGCTTCTTCAACAGGGAGATGTGTGTAACTCGCGGTTGGTCAACCACATTTTCAACACAGAGAACATCGATGTTGTTTTCCACCTGGCGGCCAAAACACATGTCGGTGAGCAGTTGTTCTCACTGAGGTTACGTCTCTATACCTTGCAGATACAACTGATTATTTCATTCCCACACACTGTGTTGTTTGTTCCCACAGAGTCGTCATTTGAATCTCCCTCGGCTTTCCAGCGGGTGAACGTCGACGGCACCAGAGTTTTACTGGCAGCTGCACATCAGGCCAGACACCGGCCTCAGCGCTTCATCTACGTCAGCACTGATGAGGTGTACGGAGCTGGGCTGGACGAGGTCAGTGGAGAGTCTGTGTGCAGTTTGTGTGTTTTGGGTTAATGTGCATTTTACTGACTTGAATATTTGGTTTGTGTTGTCTGCAGGTGTTTGATGAGAGCAGCGCGGTGAGGCCGTCCAACCCGTATTCTGCCACGAAAGCAGCCGCAGAGCTCCTGGTCAGATCCTACTGGGATAAATACAAGGTGGATAAGATAGTTTAGAAACCTAACCCTATACAGTAAGATATGATAAGACAGGATACTATAGATTTGAAATAAATTTGATTTAAACTAAATTCTGCTGTTTATCCGTCACCAGTTTCCAATCATCATCACCAGGAGCAACAACATCTACGGGCCCCGGCAGTTCACTGAGAAGGTACAAGATGCTCACTAACAACTGCTACAAACGTTTTTGGAAAAATATGAAAAAATAAAGTCACAAATCATGTTTCAGGTCATTCCGAGGTTTCTCACCCTGTTGCGAATGAACAAAAAATGGTAGGTTTGTCAGACTTTTATTTTGATAACTGTGAATCCAGTGTCAGTATCTGTTTGACACGTTCTGTGCCGCAGCACCATCCAGGGAACGCTCCCTAAGTCCCGCCATTTCCTGTTTATCGACGACGCTGTCAGTGCCTTCCTGCTGGTCCTGGAGAAAGGGATTGTGGGCGAAATCTACAACATGGGGACAGGCTGCGAGATTCTCATCATGCAACTGGCCAGGCAGCTTATCACGATGGTGCGTTTCACTGTTTTTCTAATTCCAACAACTATTTATTAAACAAGTATTCATAAAACAGCGTTTGTTTTTTATTTAGGTGAAGAATGTTCCGGACTCAGAGGCGAATGATTGGCTCGAGTTTGTGCCTGACAGGTGGGCCAATAAAGTTTCGTATTTACCGTCTGCAGATGTATGAAACGCTTCCAGGAAATAGCCAGTCTCGCCCTCCTCCACACTTCAAACCCTAACATTAAAATCCAGATTTTTATGGCTTGTTAACGTTATGACCAACATTGCCATAATAACACGAGACACATGTGAACCTACCGATGCTCTACAGGCCACGTGTCGACCTGCGCTACCCAATCACGTGTGAGAAACTGCAGCAGCTGGGCTGGAGGGCCGAGGTGTCCTGGGCTGAGGGCATCAGACAAACTGGTACACACACACACACACACACAC